TATATATATATATATTTACTAGAGTTCCTAGCACACAGTGACTGCACGTCTCCTGTCCCTGTAGGACTACAAGTCCCAGTTTACTATACCTCAAGCCTTTACAGCGGTCTTACTTAACACAAAGAAACACTCAAGTGTCAGGGGGGTCTGGTAATGATCATGTCTACAACTCACCATACATTAGTGTGGACAGTAAGCTGACTTAGAAGAATAGGAATTTGGCATAATTGACACCCAGGTCTGTTTTATATGACACAATAATAACTTTCAGTGATAATAAGGAAATTAAACAAACGATGATACCGGTGGGCAGAAATAGAACACAGACAGTGAAAATGGTAATGTTTTTTCACATTTGTGGTCAGTTGAGATGCGCCTCCTTACATTAAAGGTCAATGGGAAGAATGCCCCACCTTACAGATAGACAAAAACATAATTGGTGTCATTGGTTACTTATCTGAGGCAGATATTGTCAATTGCTCAAGTAACCCCTAACAGCTTCTAGAGGCCCCATTGACATCTCTGCGATGCATCATTGCAGGTGTGCTGCAGGGAGCATTGCGATAGGGCAGCCCATTCATTTGTATGGGCTGCCAACAGCATCTAAATTGTACTAAAAGAAGCACATAATTTAACAACAACAAAATAATCACATCATACCACAACGCATGGTAATAGGTTACCATGTGTTGTGGTGCAATGCAATGTACATGCGATGGCTAGATGCATTGGAAATAATGGAACTGCATTGTAACTACTAGTGTAACATGCAATCTTGTGGGGTGCAGGAACACACGCTCCCACATTCCTGAGATGTGACCAAAGCCTTACGCTTCATTTCTTAGACTTGCAATTTTGCAAAGGCAAACAGTTCGTCTTTAATTGTAGAATTGTCAGAACCTCTATGAGTGAACTATCATGGTATGGCATGTTATGTTTGTGTATAGTTTTATAGAAAAATCTCGCAGAGATTACAGTTTTCCAAATTCTAGAGTTGCTTAGACTGCTAGGGTACGCTATTTTTCCTATACGTTTTTTCATTCCTTTGTTCCAGGATGAGACAGCTGCCGGTCAGTCGAATGTGCGGGAGTTTCATTACGCTACTGATTATTCAGATGGCTCTTATGAGGTAGAATTGGTCTCAGCATTTTTACAATCACTTTTTAAATTCATTAGGAATACTCCATTCTGAAAAATGTATATTGAATTTTTTAATATTTAATTCAATATAGCAAGCTATGGAAGTAGAAGAATCCAGGCATGAAGAATGTTTAACCTCAAGACCCGGGCGCACACATTAGGAACAGGAGGTAAAAATGATATTTTATTAATATGTTCACTCATAATAATCATCTATTGAAGAGAAATTTAAAAAAAAAACTATAATTCCTTTCATTTACAAGGATTGCTATTTACACGAGGAGTCCTGGTTTTGGTGTTGGCCTTTCCTCTCATAGATATGAAGCACAGTTGAGCTTTTTAAAAGTAGAATGCAAATGATTCCATTCAGCCCTGTGGCCAGTGGTACGTTTATAACGCAGATACAACAAAATAATTTTATAGAGCCATTTATTCATAACTGCATACAGCTGTTCCAGAGTTGTTGGCTATCATAAGGGCAGTGCATGGAAACAATGTGGGAAGTTTATCAAAACTGGAGCAGAATAATCTGGAGCAGTTGACCATGGCAACCAATCAGCTTCTCTCTTCAGTTTGTTCAGTTAGGGTTTGAAAATTAAGGTGGATGATGATTGGTCGCCATGGGCAACTGCTCTGGATTCTGTCTGCTGCAGTTTTGATGCATTCCCTTCAATGGCTGTTATGTGGCAGGGTTTGGGGAGCAACAAGAAGCGCCAACC